AGTTTACATCCATTACATACAATTATTATTTTTCTTATGATTATTGGTTAAAAGTAAACTACTCTTATTAAATGTCATATTGTTATTGTTATTGGGTGCACTAGGTCGGGATCAGACCAGGACCAGACTGGGACTGAGACCAGGACTGAGATCGGGACCAGACTGGGACTGAAAATGGTTTTAGTCCTGTTTTAGTCCTGGTTCAGTCCTTATGTGGCGCAAAAGTCCAGCATCGCAGTTTAAGTCACGGAAACGGGAAATGGAGTTATCCGTTTTTTCCATTATTCATTTAAACACAAAATAAAAAACTGAATTTAAAAAAAAGGGGATATTTTTTTCCATTCTGGTTTTGGAGACAAATAATGAAAAAAAAATATATATATTTTTTGTTCATTTTCTTATTTTTGGTTTTATATTGAAAAACGAAGGAACGAATGATACATGGATTTGTCCACTGACCTGAAGGTCCCTGGGCAAGACACAACCACCTTGCCCCTAGTATTTTTTATTTTTTTATTTTTTTTTTGGAATTTACAAATCTCTTTTGAATCTCTATACTGGTAAAAGTAGCTGTTAACTTGAAAACTACTGCTTCCTGACATCACAAAGTGCAACAGGGCATTTTCAGCTTTGGAAATGTAAACAGAGTAATAATAAAGGATTACTCAAACATGTGTGAAAGAAACAAAACACAACTCCAGATATGTTTGAGATGAGGTAACAACATTATAATTTTACTTAAAGTTCACAAGAGTCGATTTTGTATAATACAGGACATTTAAAAACAAGAGCAATTTACAATATAAATGTTTATCTGAACAGGTCACAGGGCTTTATACTGACTGACTTTCGAATACCTTACATAACACTCTCATAATGTCAGTAGTAAAACAGTAAGAATTATATACCTTTGTACAGATGTAACAATATATACAGGATCATAAATGTCACATAAAATCAAACCGTTCCCAGACAAAACTCACAGACCTGTTGAAAGCCTCTATAGGGGTCAAATGTAAAGCTATGGCTATGATACCTGACACTATTTCTATTCAAATGATTGTCCCAAAGAGTAACCGCACCTACAGTACGCTCAGATAATGTACGCCCCCGAGCTTGTACTGATCCACAGAGCGTAATATTAGCCGACCATAACAAACACAGGTTTACTCGTGCTTTACGGTGAACATGTTGGGAGGTGGATTTCACTTGATTCACATGACAAGACAAAGATGATGTTTATGAACTTTGGGTAAGATACATAAATGGGAACAGGTGAGCCCTTTTCTGCGAAGTGTTTTGAGCCATATCAGCTCCTTCAGAACACACAAACAGTGGATTGTGCGGACATGTGGGAAGATGGCTTTGCACGCTTAAGGTAAACACGAATTAAAGCAAATGATAATGGAAACAGAAATTACCATAAGCCCAGTTCTGTTCTGCCAACTGGTTTAAGCTGCACTGTGTAACTTTTCTGGTGGAGGGTCGGCCAGCTGCTTGTTTCCATGGAGATGTCTTTGCTTTGTCTGATTTTTTTCTACTATTAAACAAAGCAAGTGAGCCAATTACAGGTCAGATCTGTTCAGAGGCGCCTGCCCTGACAATGAGACTGCATGTTTTTAAGGTATTTTTGAGCAATAATATACCTGTAATTTACTTAAAGGTGCACTGTGTAACTTTTCTGGAGAGGATCTGCAAACTGTTTTGTCTCCATCAAGATGTTAATGCTTTGGTTTAAATCAGGGGTGTCAAACTCAAAATCACAGAGGGCCAAAATTACAAACTGGGACTAAGTTGTGGGCCAAACTAAATATTTATTGAAAAATTTCAACAACATCTGCATGTTTTTTCTTCTTTTGAGATATGTAATGTTAACCCTTTTCTTATTAAAATAAATGTTTAATAAGAGTTTTGCTTAAACATTGAATCCAGAACAAACATAATATAAAATAATAACACAATTTTAAATAAATAATGTCGCTATAGCCTATCTGTAGCCGGTGGGACAGATTTAATACATATTTGATATGATCTCGCGGGCCAAATAAAATTATATATCGCGGGCCTGAGTCTGACATGTCTGGTTTAAATAGTTTACACTATTACACTAATATGTCTTGCATTTATTCAACTACACATGATATTATTGTTCAAAATATCTTTAAAAAAGTATATATATCCTTATTGTGAGTTATTTGGCTTGCAAGTCTCCATGGAAATTGTTAAGTTTATGTCCATACTACAGAACATTCTTGGCCAGGGGTCTCCAACCTGTAGCTTTGGAGCTACCAAAAGCTCTCCACCTCTTTCAAGTAGCTCACCAATGGATTTCTGACTTACATGTATTGTCCTAAATAGCTCAAATTTGATGAATTAAATGCCTATTATTATTGCAAATCTATCATTTTGATGCCTGACTTTGTGCACTCATAAATAAATAATGGTTTATGTTCTATGTTTTATCTAACTGTACACCATTCTTCCCATGGCTCTTAAGTATACTTTATTTCCTGCGACTGCTAAAATTAGTAGCTCTCTGGAATATTTGTTTTGTGTAGGTAGCTCACCCAAGGAAAAAGGTTGGTGATTCCTGTTCTAGGCACATCTCAGTGGAGACAAGCAGGTGAAGGACCCTGCACCAGACAACTTATGCGCCTTTAACAGAAGATAAATATGCTGTGAAAATTCCAGGCAAAGCAGTAACATCTCTATGGAGACAATGAGGTGGCGGACCCTCTACCTGAAAAGTTGCATAATGCAGCTTTAACGTCAGATTTGACAGTGATTGCTTTGCTCCACTGGAGGCATGAGACACAGGTATTTTTTCTTCCCATGATCCTGCCTTATCTGTTGCCACATCTTACAATACAGGTCAAATGCGTTACGCAGTGTCAGTGGTATTAGTCAATTTGTGTTTGTGACCTACAAGTATAATCCTGTATGGAAATTATTCTCAGAACTTTCCGTTTTGCTCCAGTCTGACATGTTGATAATACAGCACTATACACTGAACTGCCCTGACACAGACCTGCTGACCCTACCTGACCAGTTTTCCTGTTAACATGAGACTTTTGACTGAGACACAAAGAGGACTCTGAAAATGTCACTACAGCAAAACCTGAATGTCCTTCTGGATCCATAAAGTATCTCTCTATAGGGACTAATGATCAAGTACAGCTGAAAAAGCAGGCTACATATTGACTGACGTTGTAATAATTGGAGTTTAAAAAAGTGGATTTTTAAGCATACATTTACAGACTCTCATCATGTCCACTGGTAATGAGTACCCAGGTTAATCAATTACACGATTAAACAGTAGACCTAGTCCCTCCACGCATGACCAAGAGAGCTTGAGAATAACCATGTGATCATACCTTCGATCATGCACGTCGGGCGTCTCCAATTTTGCAGTAATGTTTGTTTTGTTTTTGAAAACAAAGATATATTAATAGAAAAACATGTGACTTTGCAAACAAAAATAGATTAAAATAAAAGCATGTTGGTTTTGTTTAATGGACTGAAAAACTTGCGTTCCACAAACATGACTCTTACTTGGCACGGTGGAGAGCCTTGTCTTGTCTTGTTTGTGTCCGTGGAAGTTTCTTTGTCTATAAAATTCCGCAGTATGGCATAAAATTCATCTATCCTCATGGAGAATGTATGATTTAAAATATCTGTTTTCATATAATCAATCAAGTGAGCCAGTTACAGGTCAGATCTGAGCAGAGGCGACTGCCTTGACAATGAGAATGCATGTTTTTAAGGTATTTTTGAGCAATAATATACCTGTAAATTACTTAAAGGTTCACTGTGCAACTTTTCAACCTGTTTGTCTCTATGGAGATGTCAATGCTTTGGTTTAATTGTAAGGCATTACACTAATATGCCTTGCATTTCTTCAACTGGACAAATTATTTATTGATAAAAAAATAAATAAATAAATAAATAAAATACTTATTTAATGTGAGTGGGGCCGCCTTTCCACAAATGTAGCCCGTATTTTGGCTTGCAATCTCCATGGAAATTGTTAAGTTTATGGCCATACTGGGGTAGCCAGGCTGACGCCACCTAGTGCTTCCGCTCAATTTCATTTCTCTCCAGCGACTAGGTCAGGAATCAGAATACACTAGACAGTTTGCAAGAACCTCGGAAGTGCAAGTTCGGGCACCAGCCAATCAGCGAAGAGCCATACATTCTGTGTTGTCAACGATTCCCAAGATCGAGGAGTTAAAGCCGGAACAAAGAGAATGTCTGATGAATTTTATCAAGGTGAAAGACCTTATTGCCCTTATTCTTCCTACAGTATTTGGGAAAAGTTTAATATACCAGTTAGCCCCGTTAGCAGTTCATTTAATATGTCTAGACCAAATAGCAGTGATTAGTTGAATAAAAAAAGTACCTGCCTACCATCGAGCAAACGACTTCTAATGCTGCGAGGTCAGATGGTTTCTACGAAGTGATGAATCAGGCGAATACTGGGGAACATTCTAGGCAAATCTCCATGGAGACAAGCAAACAATTTACACAGTTCAACTTTAACCTAAGATTTTCCACAGTATGGCATAAAACTTATCTATCCCCATGGAGAATGTATGATTTAAAATGTCTGATTTCATGTAATCAATCACGCTAGAAAGTTCATACTGTACCTTTAATGGTTTGGATTTTTTTTTTTTTTTTTTAAGGTCTACTTGCTTTTTTGCGCCTGCAGAGTAGATACCTCACGTTTGGTTTGCATCAGCTAAAATGAACCATGATGTAACCATAGAAACATCATCAAAAACCTCATTTACACACTGTAGTCTACTGCCCTCCTCATAACTCAATCTCCTCCTCTACTACCGCTTTGATCACGCTCTGCCGAGGTTTGATTCGTGCGTAAAGCGTCTCCAAATCCACCTCCTCCCTTTTTGGCACCTCTCCACGCCCACTCCAGCAGAGCGCGTCCCTCCCACTATAAAACCCGCAGGATCTCCGTGTCCTGCGCCGCGTCCGTGGGGGAAACTTCTCCGCGGGTATTAAGCCCTTTTTCCATCTTCTCAGCACGGCCACTTCAAGTTCACATGCGGACGCTTCACCTCACCAAGACCCGAAACCAATCTTTTATATCTTTAAGCGCAAATGTAGCGTTCACCGATTATCTCAGCAACTTATTTTTCTCATTTTAACTTTACGCGCGTATGTAGTCTACTCAGAAAACGATTTTAGGATGAAGATGCTGCCCTAATTTTTTTTTTTTTTAGCTGTTATTAAAGTGGAATTTCTGCTTCAACATTCCTGTCGAGATGGAAAAAACGCCTTAAACCAAAAAGCCACGATGGGGAAATGGGAGCTGACAATGGTAAGTAGGCTGAATAATAAATAATTGGCGATATTCTGTAAGTTTTATGAGTTGTATTGGATTTCTGCATTTTTTTCTGTTAAGTTGAAAGTTGTCTGAACAATGTCGATTTGGAGAAACTCACAGCAAACTAGCTAGCTATACTGCAAGTGGGCAAAAAATAGCTAAGGCTGTACATGTCATAGCTACTCAAATGTAAAAATCTATCCTAATCCTACTGTGATTTCCTCACTTAGAATCATCTTTTCCATTTTGGCATTTTTTTTTTCAATTTTCAATGCAAATTACTACGTACTATTTTATGAAATTACGCTTCATAGGGGTGTGCAAAAATATCGGGGAAAAAAAAATCAATATAGTGATACAGTATCGTTATCATGGGCTGCTGTATCGATATATCAACAAGAGCATCTAATATTTTAGCATGTTTAATATCTTTTTGTGACCGTACAACATTTTTTCTTCTTGATATACTCACTGTTTTGATGATTAGTGTAGATGTATTTCATATTAACTTTGCACAGGTTGCGGTTTAACAAAGAAAGGTCGTTGCTAAAATGTATTTGGTTCTTAAGAAAACAGCAACATATCACAGAGTATCATGTAATATATCGATTATTGCATATTGTGAGGCATTCGTGAAGGACCCTGCGACGCCCAGCCCTATTTCTTTGTGCATATGATGACACAAATTTAGTTTTGGTCCCCTCATCATGTTTTAGATTGCACAATATTTACTCAGCAGCTTTTTGGAGCAGCTGTCTATCAATTTCTAAAAAACAGGAATCAATAAACTCAATATAAAAATGAACCAAAAAACATTTGAGCACACACTGCATGGTACAAAAAGTGCAAGACGTGCAGAATAACCAGATAACATAATCCACTGTTGTTGAACGCTGGCACAATGGAGCTTGTGTGAAACTAACTTAAAGCACGCCTGACGAAAGCGGCTATAGACACAACAGCGTGAAAAATTCAAAGTGCCACTACTGTCTCTACATGTCTGTGTGTGTTTTGTTCCCTGTGTACTTTTGCATTCACAGCTGATGAATAAGTAGTACATGTAGGAGGCATGTTATGCAATGGAGTGGTTGTTTAAAGGGGAATGCCACACTTGGATGGAGTCATGCTTGGATTTGGAGTGGCCATCTCTGAGCACCTCTTAAGAGTAGAGGAGGTTTTAACTCTATCACTACCACCAAGCTTGTATGTCATATAAGTATGTAAGGTGTGTCTGCTGCAAAGCCTGGAGACTATTTGTAGGTCTGTCATGATAACAGATTTTGAAGCACAATAGATTGCTATATACGGCCGTAAATTATAATACTGAAACTACTTTATGCCACTGATACAATAACAATAATGCAATATAATCCTACTAAACCTTTTGTAAATAGACAGTATCATTCAAAGACCTGAGCTGCAACTATTAAATAACAGACTAAATCAATAATTAGGCATAGACGTTACTTATTCAAGCTTTTACTACGCAAATGTCCACACTTTTACAAAGAAATGGTACACAGCTTTCCTATATTGAACAACACGTCAATATAGTAATTATCGTGACAAACCTAACTAGTAACTGTTTGGGTCTGTATTTTTTTATTCTCGCTGAGTGTGAAAAGTCATTGAATTGTGAGATACATAGAATATTTTTTATGTGCTGTGCTGAGATCAAAAATCTAAACTGATCATAACTTGCTACTAAATTTGATGATACAGTATCGATACTTAATACTGCTGTATTATATTGTCATGTTTATTTTGTGGTACATTAAGTTGTGGATGCAACACATTTGACATATGTAAAGAAATATTACTGTTGAAATGGTTCCTAAAAAGTAGTGATATATCTCAGATTATTGTGTGATATTGGTTATCAGAAAATCATGATATTATCGTATTGTGATTCCAAGCCCTACCTAAAATGCATCTGTGGAGTACATTCACATTCACATTTATTTACTAAATTAGTGAACAATAATAAATAAAACTGCTTATATTAATCAACTATTGGTCTAGTATTATTCTCCTCCCGTTCTGCAACTTGTCATTAAAACATCCATTTGATCATTCAGCTTTAAAGGGCCTATGTTAGTCTACTTTATCATATGAGTTATAATGTTATTTCCTCATCAAGAGTTTTGTAGATTGTATCATTCATACACAAATTGCATATTTAGGCTGTATTATTCTGTCAAACAGAAAACACTCCTGAACTCCTGCTCCACTTTATGATGTCATGTGGTAATACAGGAAGTGCTCCACTATGTTTTTTAAACTACATTCACTTCACTATAATCATTAGGAGGATTTCAGACCTGGAATTGCCAATCTCTACTAAACAAAAGGTAAAAGGTATGCGTGAACTTGAAAACTAACACAACATGACATCACAAGCTGGAACAGAGCATTTTTAGCCTTGGGTTTTGACAGACATTAAAGGATTGCTCAAACATTTGAAGGAAAAAAAACAAACTCCAGGTATGTTTTTGAGTAGGTAACAACATTCATGACTTAAAGCTCACAAGAGTCCATTTTGTGTAAAATAAGACATAGGAATAATACATACATTATTTAACCATCTTGTTTTTATTAAATTCCTCTGTATTGTCATTGCCCCCCAGTGAAATCAGTTATGTGTCTCTGTGTTCATTTGCATGTTCACAAAGCCTGAATCAGATTTTCCATTGGCTTGCCTTCACCTCTTCTATTTATCTGTACTATTGAATATTCTGGGAACAACCACCAACGTCATTATAACATTGTACTGACATCAAACAGCCCCTTCTCACAATAGAAAACTACATCACTCTCCCAGCTATGATCTCTGTTTGAACTTTTTATGATACTAGTCTAGTGTTGTATCAAAATACACAAGTGAATTCTTAGAAATCCAGGTCTTCGTGCAAAACAAAAGATAACGGCGTATGATAAAAACTTACTACGTCAGGCATTGTGAACTTACTATCTCTTAATGCAAACCTGTTTTGTGACACAGTTCTGATGCATATATTGAATTTGCACATACATATTCATTTGATGAACCATTGCAGTAGGTTGCAGGTTGCTTAGAGTTGTTAGCAGGTGGAAGTTGAAGCCATGCTGGTGCACTGCTAAATTTAAATTGTTGTGACTAGAAACAGACTATGTTTTCACTGTCTGACTTGGACATTACATGGAGGTCAGAGCAAGCGGAACTCATGAGGACTGTATGTAGTCTTTATGAAACTGGTAAAGGATGATGATATGAAGTCTTTAATCTACTCGTAATATTTTGAATTTTAACTATAACAGGCTAAAATTACCATACATGCATTAGTGTTGTATTACAGCAAGAATATCGTAAGGTATTGGCAATATACTGGTTCCAATATTGGTGCAGGTCAGATATTGAAAATTTACTGGTATTTGGTACCAATATTTTTTCTATTCTGCTCAAGTCTGTGAGCTCATGTGTCTTTCCCAGTTTGTCCTCAGTGCTTGTGTGAACAGACAATGAGTAATGGATCTAAATATGACTCTATGTTTATACAATTACCCAACAAATCATTTTATCCCAGATAAATAAATGTTGTTATTATTTTTTACAAAAGTGAAAGGCAAATTTGTGACCTTTGCTGTATCTTAACATACATTTGTGTTATATGTTTTTCAGTATCAGCTATGGCTGGGCAATTAATCTTAACTGATTTGATTTAGTTTTTTTTAATAATTGAGATTTTGAAAAAAAAACAAAATCATGAAATAGAAGATCATTAAAAACGAGTATATTCCTGACTTTCTTACTTGTAAAATAGTGTTATTGTGTAATTACAATTATCTGTTGAAAGGCGAGCTGTCCCGGCACTGACTTCATGTAAAATTGATTGAAATTGATTTTTGGTCATATCGCCCAGCCCTAGTATCGACATACGATAGGCTAAAGAAAAATCTATACTAGACCATCTTCACTTATCATTTGAAAATAATTGCATCTCCATCAGTACCTCTTTAATCATCTTTAACAACAACATTTTATTTATGAATATCCTCAACCCTGTATGTCTGTGTTGTGTGTTGTGTAGAACCCAGTGCAGGAGTGGGGCGAGGAGGTGGAGGACGGTGCAGTCTATGGGGTGACTCTGCGCCGGGAGCCTGTGCCCTCTTCAGCTCCGTGCACAGCTTTTGTCCAGTACCGCACCTGTAAAGTGCGACGTCTGAAGGCCGCTAAACTAAACCAGCTGGTCAACCACCTCCTGGAGCCTGAAAACCAAGACCAAGACTACGGCCAGATCCTCCTGTCCACCTACCGCACCTTCACCTGTCCCTCCACCCTCATCGAGCTGCTCTTCCTCAGGTACTCAGAAAGTGTTTATTTTTAGGACCTATATTAAGCTATTGTTTGATCGCTGTTATAATGTTGTTTCCTCATCACAAACAGACCTGAAGTTGTATTTTGTTTCATTCACACATGTTTAACTCACTAAACCTTGCAGATTTAGCCTGAGTACTTATTTCAAACAGAAAATACTCTGTTCCACCTTGATGCTGTGTGGTAATACACTGTGTTTTAAAACTCCAAACACCTTCACTAGAATCATTTGGAAAATTTCAACCCTGGAATTTCCAATCTCTACTAAACAAAAGGTAAAAGGCAGATATTAACTTGAAAACTACTGTGTCATGACATCACAAGGTAGACCCGAGCATTTGGAGCTTTGGAGATGTGGACAGACTAATAATGACATGTGCAACTGAAACAAAACACAATTTTGCACAATATAAGAAATACATTTAAAGATAGGAATGCTATATTATTTGGCATAAATTCTGGGTCATTTGATAAGAACAGGTACGATAAACATAGATTAACATGATTGTCTGGTAAATCCACATAACAGACTTTCTCATAACAGAGTCTCTTTCCTGCATTGAATCCTGTGTAAACAAGTACCCTTTAGTCCTCCAATCTAAATACCCAGAAACATCTAAAATTAAGTCTCTAATAGTCAAAACAACTTAAATTACATCAAAAATATATAATCCTGACCAGACCCTGAGAGAAACTAGTTCAAGATCGTTATAAAACTGTTCAGGAAAGGTGTTTTTTCCATTACTGATCTAGTTATCATGCTAGTTTGAGTAACAATTAGTGTCTAGGTATTGTTTTTTTCTGATACCCCTTTTGACTGTTTGCAGCTGAACATTAAAAAGTCATTATTGTCTTGTATTGTTTTGATTTCCTAGCCCCTCTTCCTGTCATTATTCTGTATATAACAATAAACAACTTGGCTAAAATTGGCAGGAAATAAAAGCAATACCTCAAAATAAACAGTGACTATTTTTACTGTAATGTTTGGTCTCTTTTGCTAAACTCTGACCGTGCACCCTGACCGAGCACCCTGACAGTGCACCTCCAGCTTAGATGTAATAACAATTATGGTTTGGCAGGTGCCTATTACCGGTTATTGCCATAACAGCTATTATCTTCTCTGTGGTCCAGACTGTGGGCGCTTCACAGTAATTCCAGTCATTCCATAAATAATAATTAAAGCAAACACCATGATATGTATGTATGTTTTTTAATAATTTCTGCTTGCTTTTCACTGTTTTCATTACAGGGACAATGCAGCAACAGATCTGGATAATACAAACAGCTACAACAGGTAAGCTACTGAGAAAAAATAACAGAATTAAAATAAAACTACTACTTTACAATGTTCCATACACTGGAATCGCCAATCTCTACTAAACAAAAGGTAAAAGGTAGCTGTAGGGCTGTCGCGGTTAGGGAATTTCTCCTGCGGTGCAGTATAACGGCTCAACAGCGCGATATGCGATGATATTGCCTGGGTTAGTCCTAGGTCAGTCCTGGGTTAGTCCTGGGTCAGTCCTGGGTTAGTCCTGGGTTAGTCCTGGGTTATCACGAGCACAGGCGGTAACGGGTGGAATGTTAATGGATCTGGGCGTGTGGGTATCTAAAAATTTACCCGTGCAGGACTCTGGGTCTGGTAACGTGGTCACATGCGGTGATCGCAGTGGCCCGACATGCACCACGGTGGACCTCTTAGTACCGTGGTGATTCATTTTTGGGGTTATTGCGACAGCCCCAGGTAGCTGTTAAACTTGAGAATTACTACTACATGACATGATTTAGACAGATTACCCGAATATGTGTGAAAAAAAACACAATTCCAGGTATATTTTTGATGAAGTAACAGCATCATAACTAAAAAATCATGACTAAAAGATCACAAGAACCAATTTGTGTTACATAGGGCCTTTAACTTATTTTAAAAAAACTGATATTTTGTACTTAAAAAGGAAGGTGCTTACAAATTCTAACAGACAAGTGGGCTTCCTTTGGTAATAGCATTTAGCATGACTGTAGCTTTGTTTTTTCAGGCATAATCATAGAAACTATTTGAAACTTTTGTGAGAGTTTTGTGAACATTGACTTGAACTCAAAGTATGTCCAAATGCCACAGGAAGTCTCTTAACTAAATATGTTTTGAAAGTTAAAGTGTAATACGGCTGTGCTGTCTTTCGCAGGCCTCTGTTGACCTTCGTACAGGCCTGGTTGGACGATTACAGTGAAGACTTCAGGGACCCTCCACTCCACGCGGCGCTCAGACTGCTGCTGGACCACCTGACCATCAGCTCTGCCATGCACTCACACATGCGCACTCAGCCCAACTACTGCTCTCTGGCCGGGCAGGCAGAGGAGCTGCTCAAGAGGTTTCAGAGAGAAGGTGACTGCCTCTAACAATAACATCGACTACTTCTAACTTCAAAACGCAACTTTAATCAGCCAGTTTACCTTTTTTTAATTTGGGTTTGGATTATTGATTATAGTTCATTTTACAGGTCACTAACACTGTGTTTACAGTTCACTCTTGACTGTCCTGGTTAGGGCTGCACCAGTCCAGCTTTTTCAGTTCCAAAATCGATCCTGATACTAAGGCTTTAAGTATCTGTCAATACTCGAAATCAACCAGTGGAGGGACTAAAAATAGACTTTTCCTGACAACAAAAAATATTGTATGACAAAATGTGTGATTTAGTAGTTATTTATCGCAAAAATAATGATGGAAGAACTTATTATGGTATTAAAAACTCAAACATAATGAGACTTTTTTGTACACTGCACAAAACAAAATCTAGTCAAGTTAAGATGACTTAAATTAAGAAAGTTTTATCATGATTTGAGTCAATTCCACTTGACTTTTTGTACTTAAAATAAGAGACAAAATCGAATGTTACTTGAATTAAAAAAACACACTTATTGCATTGGTAGATAATTTTACTTGTCAAGTTGAATCTACTCAAATGAACTAAAATGTTCTTAACTTAAGTCATTTTAATTTACCTAGATATGTATTTTTTTCCCCAATGTACCAGTAAATAGTCTTAATTAATTAATTAATTTTTTCATAACATTGTCATAACATTAAACATAAGAAATTAATGAAAAGGAGCAGAAAGAAGAGTATTCTAAATTATAATAATAGAGTAAAGAGTCTTTGATTTATATGCTAAACTATGATATCAGCAGAACCGATATTTTGGAGCTGATACCCAATCCAGCAAATTTTCATGGATCAGCGCAAATATTCGATACCAGTATTGGAATCAAAGCATCCCTAGTTCTGGTTTGGTCCTGGTTTTAGCCCAGTTTAATCCTAATATATACTTGGTTTGGGTTTGTAAAGCTTATCCTACAAACTAACAATAATAAGAATAGGTCTGGTTTTATTTTTCAAGCAGGTAACCATCTTTGATCGGTCAGACTTTATGATGACTACATTTTAATTAGCCTTAGTAAAGCATAAACAAAGACTAAATTAGTTAAATAGTACTTAATATTACCCTAATCCTAACCTCTTAACCTTAAATAAAGTGGTACTCATTAATCTTCTAGGTGATATTTAACTAAGAACTACACTAAACTAACTGTACCACTGATTCCTTTCTGCACTCTTTAGACGCTGAGTCCAGTCTGAGCTCCTCCATGGAGCTGTCCCAGGCTGAGTACTGCTCTGGCGATGACGACTCCGGATGTGAAAACTCTTTGGATCTCACAGATGTAATGGATTTTGCAACTGTGGCCATCGCAGAACAGCTCACTCGCCTGGACGCGGTACATACCAACACTTAATCGTTTCACATTTCAGAAATAAGTGTCATATCTAACCATATTTTGGATGTTGCAGGCATTATTCGTCAAAGTGGTGCCTTATGAATGTTTGGGCTCTGTGTGGTCTCAGAGGGATAAGAAAGAAAACCTGTCTCCCACCATCAGAGCTACAATTGCACAGTTTAACGCTGTGACTAATCAGGTGATGTTGTGCCTGCTCTGCCCATCTGTGGATGCCAGCTCTAGTCCCACGTTCTCCGGCCGCCCCCCCTCCACCCCCGCAACCAGGGCCAGGATCATTGAGAAGTGGATCCGAGTAGCACAGGTCTGCACGTTTAAATTTGTACTACTACTTCTATTAAAGTTCCTATATTACGGACTCTTGTGAGGTTTAAGCCATGTAATAATGTTGTTGGCTCATCAAAAACATATACAGAGTTGTGCTTGGTTTCATTCACACGTGTTTGAATCGTCCTCGTTTATCAGTCTGTCTCAGAGGTGGGAACTTGCCAAGTCGTGACTTGGATTCAAGTCAGACTTGAGCCACTATTTTTAGGACTTAAGACTTGACTTGATAAAATGAACTAAGACTTGGGACTCGACTTGGATTTGAATGTCTATTTGAGGCCTATGACTTAAGAAGACTTTCTGTTCTGACCATAATGACTTGAGACTTATTTGAGACTTGCAAAACAATGACTTGGTCCCACTTCTGGTCTGTCTACATCTCAAAAGCTCAAAATGCTCCATCCAATCTTCAAGTTTTCAAGTTAACAGCTACATTTTACCTATAGTTTAGTGGAAATTGGCAATTCCAAGGCTGAAATCATCCACATGAATTTAGTGAAGGTGTTTGGAGTTTAAAAACACAATGGAGCACCTTCTGTATTACCACATAACATCACAAGGTGGGACAGAGAGTTTTCTGTTTGAGAGAAGAACTCAGAACATGTGTGAATAAACCATAACACAATTCCAGGGATGTTTTTGATGAAACAACATTATAGCAGGAATCAGAAAATAGTGTAACATGGGCTCTTTCAGCAAACACATTTTTAAGTAACCACAGCTGCCATGGGGTAGACTGAAAAAAAAAAAGTGAAGCTGGCAGTCTGCACTTTCGACCACAACCAATCACTCACGCACAAACACACACACACACATTCATACTAGGCAAGGTGGGTGAAGTTCTGTTGTTGTGTCCTTAGGCACAACAACAGAACTTCACCCACCCTTGTGCAATGCCCAGATGAAAACATTTAGTTACGACTTACTTGGATCTATTTACTGCTTTTGTCGCTAAAAAACTCAACCCTGGCACTAACATTATACATATGTTTGCAATTACTTGTTTTTTATGACCGTAATTTGCTATTTTGATTGGTTGATAATAATCTTAGTTGGATAATTTGTTTTTTTTCAGGAATGCAGACGCTTGAAAAACTTCTCCTCTCTCAAAGCCATCCTCTCGGCTCTCCAGTCCAACGCTGTTTACAGGCTGAGAAAGTCCTGGGCTGCAGTAAACCGGTGAGTGTGGGGTCACGGTATTTTAACCGTTTTATTGGTGTTCTACATAATCTGTTTTTAACGTAACTGCTGAACTCTGACCTGTCATTCTCTATCAATAACTATAAAGCTGGAGTCAGCGAATCTCTGTCTCCATGGTGACCTAGTGTGTTTGGGGTCAGGTCATGTACAAAACCTTCCTGAAGCGTAACCATTAAATTGTTCTTATTATGGGGAAAATTCTTACAAACATGTTTATCAAGGATGCAGTAACAGTAGTAAAAACAAAATGTGTATATTGTTTTTCATGCTGTATTTTCTTTTTTGTTTTTACTTAAGTATATCTTTACTTCATGCTATTCACTTATTTTATTTCCAGAATCAAATGAAAATGTTCCACTATGAATATCCCATTATGGTCAAATTGTCTGTCTACATTCAGTCTTAGCCTAATCCTAGATGTTACAAAATTAATCCTAGATGTTGCAAAATGAATACTGCAGTAATTGTAGTAGTAGTAGTAGTAGAAGATTTCACAAACATTTCCAAATACCATTTTAACAAACACGCCTAATGTTTGAAAATTATGATGGTACATTCTACAATCTTGAATATTTTCAAGGGGCCTCTGACCTGACCCCAAACTATTCCTAAGTAGGACAGTTATTGTTTAACTTCACTGTAAATATTCCCCATTGTTCTGACTATCACTCTATTTGACATATCTTAACATTTTTTCTATAGGGACAGTATGGCCGCTTTCGATAACCTCTGTGAAACCTTCCCAGATGAAAACTGTGTTCTGAGCAAAGGGGAGCTTGTAGAAGTGGTGAGTAACTTATAAATGTACACCAGTGATTTGTGTGCTCTCAAGTCACTATTATTTAAAACAGATACCTGCAAAAAAGCATGAACGAATGACAGTGAATTAATAGAAAGTATTTATTCGATCCAAAATATGTCGGCTATGTCCTGTGGGTTTTCACTTATGACATAAAATCATTAATATGCAGTGACACATTGAGCATTAAATTGAAACTAGACGCCTCAGGCACAATGTGTTCCCTTTTGCCCAGTCACCTTCAGATGCCTGCGTCACAGTCACTCACTAAATCAACAAAACAACACATACTACACATATATCTTTATTTACAAATGCATACTTTTAGCAGTACACAATACGGTACAAGTGTAAATTAATTAGTAAAAGTGATAGCATCAAAACAGAAGTATTTGAGGTTGCACTTTACTACAACACAGTGAATAGGATGGAAATGGCAACTCGGACAAAGAGATAAAGGATATATATTTTGTAGTCCTGTTCCAATGTTACAAGAAAATACTAACCATGTCCTAGTAAGCTTGTCAAAAGTACTGAAAATCAGATACTAATTAATACTAAATCTAGCATCAAAACTAGATTTGAGCAAGTATTGATACTAAAAAAGTCACATTCACAGGACAAAAATTCACCATTCCTGAATAGTTTTAGCTTGAGCTGTATTAGAACAAGTATAAGATCACAAAGACTAGTACGGCCAAGCTCTAAAGACAATAGAATGTGATTTTTATAAAAAATTTCATCCTGATATTAGAATCTGTATTGAGTATCGAGACCATTCTGTAGTATCGAAATTGAGTTTGAAATTTCAGTATCGTGACAACACTATGTCCTAGTAATTTACATTTTTCACTCTAGGGTTAGACTCAGGGTTAGAATGACCAAATTCTCAAGATGATTTCACTTGTAGTTAAAATGCTATTTCAAGATTCAGGATTTTATTGTGATTGTCACAGAAAAGCAACACAATTACGTTTAGAGCATCAAACACTGTATAGTTTTGATATAAAGTGTCATTTGAATTTGCACTTTATTACTGTATTATTACTGTGTTGTAAAGTAAAGTGCAAATTGGGTGATTTGATAAACAAGGCTTCCTCTGTTTAACTTCTAAAATTCAGTTTATAACTATTCTGTACAGAGTTTTTATATGCACTCCAAGACACTTAAGACTGACCTAGGCCTTTACTTTTTAACAAGAAAACCAATAAACAGGATACTCAGGTTAATGTATAATGCTTAGTTGTGTTTCGTAACTTGTCTGACATGCTTCTGTAATCCGTTTTTCTCCACAACACAACCGTGCAATAAACAAACCGCTAAGTTAATGTACAGTAAAGACTCTGTGAAGCCTGCTGACTCTAGCTCTGTTTGACAGGAGGGAAGTCAAGCCAGCGTGGATAGCATGTCTCCAAAGATATCCAAGAGGTGTCCAATCTCCAGGCAAATGGTGAGACATGCTCCAAGCTAAAATTCAACCCTGTCTGGCTCACTGAGAGCTGAGGAGTCGACAGGACCTGTTCTGAAATACAGCTGGAATATGATCCGATATGATGTGGAGCATAGTTTTAAGCATGTCAACAGTCTCATAGAAACATTGGTGCACATCCAGTTAAAAGCGTCACTTATTTGCGAATCCAAAAACACACTATTTTCTTTTCCAATCTCTCATCCAATACAGTCACTGTAATAGCTAGAAATAGATTGACCTATAAAATCCAAAAAAGTTACTGTAGTTTTAGTGAAATTCATAGTTATTTGTTGAAATGCCAAATTTGATTACCTTTTAAAATTATTTGCCTTTTTAACAAGAACAGGTCTGTGCTTTTTTTACTCTTTGCAATTACTGTCAGCAAGGGCGTAGGTTTGCATAGGGACGGTGGGGACATGTCACAATCAATATTTGAGGAAGACAAAATAGTCCCTACCAATATTTACCATTTTATTTAATAAACAAAAATATAAATTTATTCTGATATTTTTCCAAACTCGTTCAAACGTTTTGAGGTGTATTCAGTGATATGACGACAGGGTTAGTCCTGCTGCTATTTCATCGGCTGCAACAGAGAGATGTCAGTAGTGGTGCCAGGAGCCTAAACTGTCAGGACAGGACCAGCACCTGAAGATGACGGCTTGAGCAGGTGTGAATGAAGACACTGCGCACCAAACTTTGAAAAACTTTTCAAAAGTTACTTACTTGGCTTAATGTTCAATTAAACTTGTCTTATAATGAATTGCCATGGAAAAAGAGTGAATATTGCCACAAGTGCACCTCCCAAATGGAGCCCTACTCATGCGACAATATTCCATGGAAAAATGTACGGACATTGCCTCACAAATATCTCATCACCAACAAGCAAAGGGAAATTTGCTATAAACTTCTACAGAGTTGTTATCCACTAAAGAATCATCTTAGAAGGGCAATGGACACAAACTGTACATTTTGCAATCTGAAAAATTAAACCACCTTTTACTTATTTTGGACCTGCCCAGACTGTGTGTTTTTGGAAATAATTCATAAAATATATGGGGGTTTAGCTGATAATGTCTCCACCAAAGCTGAGAGCAAACCTACGCCCTTGACTGTCAGGGTCTTAAACAGAGAGGAGCAAAGCGGTCTGTTGTCTCAGGCCTCATGTTCTTGGACCCTTTTCCTACCCATAGGTTTCAAAATGAACGGGGGGGGTAGGGGGTGAAAATTTTGCACTGTTTCCATAGCAAATAACAATTTGAAACCAGATCTTCTATCTCTTGAACGATGACACGTACTCAAAACCTACAGACAAGAAGATGAAACCCCTGAGCAGTGTGAGCAAACTGTGAATGTAAACTTAGTAGCTAAAAAAACGATCACACCTTGTTGCCATAGCGAATTACAAAATACAGCACTTTTGCAGTATGATCTTGTTTCTCACCTAAGGGAGATATTCGAATGGAGTGTACTGAATAAAAGTGCCACATGAATGCTAAAAAGCCACAAAGGAGCTACATTCACCAACGTGGGAGGAGGAGGAGGCCTATCTTTAGCCCCACACGTCTCCAATGATCACTGGGATTATATGGGTCGGTAATAATAGCCCTGGCCACTGTCTTTTATGAGTCATATGCACATTCTCTGGGGATAGAACATGAAGCCACGCAGCCACAAATGGAGGTTTTGTGATTCACTCTGGACAGTGAAAAACAGGGTTATTTAGGGCTCACATGTCACACGTATGAATGTTATTTAGTTGACGTGGCGTGTTTTGATGTTCACAGAGTACGTCATCAGGAGTGGTACCGTACCTGGGCACTTACCTGACAGTCCTGACCATGTTGGACACTGCTCTGCCTGACACCGTGGAGGTAAATAAGGTTACTATTTGACTTATACACTTACATCATAACTTTAGTGAAAATGTGTAAAAATGAAACTGCAAAATAATCATGGTTGTAATAATAATGATTTTTTTTCCCTCTCAAATGGATCAGTCACGATTTTCAGTGTAGTTAAAAAACAGACAAATAGATTATGACAGAATTTATTTTAAAATTTTATTTGTTGCACAGTCCAGTATCCAGTTTGGGCCCCCCTGTAAAAAAAATATTTTGAATCTCTAGTTAAGGTGACAAATGTATTTAAAACAAGAAATTTGCAAATGCGAAACAAATAACTACATTGCACAAATATTCAGTATTTATTTATTCTGCTAAAGTGTAAAAAGATGGGTTCAGCAGAGGCAAATCAAATGCCGGTAAGTAAGTAAATAAACCAGGAAATAGCGGGAAATCTTGATAACAGCTATCTTACATGCTATTCAACATTCCAAACAGTCTGGTGAGTTCATTTGCTTGAAAGAAATGCAATGCAATGCAAAAGATTATTTCATAAAACCATCAGGAAATAAAATATAACATTTTTAAATGCATGTTAGTAATTACATTCATAAATTTGATGTGCCTTATCTTTTGTTTTATAGGGTGGCCTCATAAACTTTGAGAAGAGACGACGGGTATGTGTTTTTCTAAGTTTCACACATGTTACTTTTCAGTAGTTACACTTGCACAACTCACTTGTTTGTAGTACATGTTAGAAGGCTATGTTCTTTTTACTACTACTATTGACTTCTTATGCAACCACATGTCTGCCTGATTGTCATAAGCTAACATTGTCTTTTGTTTTTTTTTAAGGAGTTTGAAGTTCTGTCTCAGATCCGGCAGCTTCAAGCATCCTGTTCCCTGTACAACCTCCATCAGCATCCTCAGATCACCTCATGGCTTCAGGGAAAGAAGCTCCTCTCCGATCAGGAGAGGTGAGCCAGCACAAGCACACTGCACATCGCATGGCCCGGGAGTGTGGCTTATGTAATCTGAAGTTCACAAGATACAAATTCCATATATAGTTTTTTTTACTTGCACAAATGAGGGTGTGGTGCTTTCTTTCACATAGTGTACATTAGCCAGGTACATTATGATCTTCAATTCTCTACAACTGAGCTTTGACAACATCTTGGATTTTACACTTTACAGGTGTGAAGGTGCTTTGGTGAATAGATAAACATGATTCAGGTCACAATATGATCATAAGAACTCAAGTTAAGTGCTTATTAGGGATGTAACAATAACTGAAATATCGTGGTATCGTATCGTCAAAGTTCTCACAATAATATCATGGACCATCACAATATAGCGGATTACAAGTCTCTTTGCTTAAATTAAGAGTCATGGTGCAGCAATAGCTAAAAAAAAGACAGAGGAGACTACATAGACCATGATCCTTTGCTCCATTTCAGTGCAGACTACAAGAAGAAATAACAGTTCTACGCACTTTTAACTCTTAGTTCTTTGGATTAAGTCTTGTCAAGGCATTTTAAGAGGAAATAAATAGCATATTAACAGTTTTGTTAGCCTCCAGAGAATATTGCAATAAGTATCGTACTGTGAGGTTCATACCGTGACAATATTGTATCGTGAGACTTGGATATCGTTACACCTCTAGGCTTATTATGTCACATCATTCAAAAAGTTTTTTCATTGAAAGTTTGATATGTGCCATTTGAAAAACTTTCAAAAGCCAAATCTGTTTTACTGCTATCAAAATGCTTTCCCTTCATAATAAAATTAGCTATACATGAGTAAAGAACACCAACTTTTTGACAATTTTTCAAAACGAATATATCTGATTTTACTATTGGATGCTTCATTTGGCAATCATAATTTTGACACAAGTTTACTCACTGCAAATGGGTTTATTAACTATTATTTAAACTGAAATTTTAGCGCTCAATATTAGATTTACAATGCTACTGTCATCTTTGTTTTTCGGTGGTCTCTTTGAATAAACAATGCTTGTGGTTGTATTTCTTGTTCTCTATTGTAATCGGTAGCATGTGTGTGTTGCAGCTATGAACTTTCCAGACAGCTGGAGCCGCCAGTCGACCTGAGCTCCCCAACAGCCTGGAGTCATCGCTCCATCACAAAGAAACTCTCCTTGTAAGCCCTGTTTACCTGTTTGGACATTAGGTTTACATTTCACTGTGCACACAAAGCCACACTAGGTTTCAAAACATGCTGTGTGGTTAATTCACGTCTTTTACAATTTTAGTTTAAATTATTTTTTTTAGGTGGGGGGTTCTGTTCTTCATGGAGATGTTGTTTGGAATGAAATGTTCAAAGTTAAAAAGTTCTGGCAAACCAAGTATAGTTTGGCAATAAAAACCTGTAACTGAATAAAAGAAAACTGTTTATACCATGCTGTGGACCATTCTAGGCAAATCAATAACATATCCATAACCTTCTACCACAAAAGTTACATAGAGAAACTTTAAAATTATTGTTCTTATTTTGATTATTAACATGCATTTTGTCCACAGTCTCCGTGCGATGAGTGAAGGGTCTAAGAAGCTGCCTCCAGACCAGATTAGCGTGTCCTCCTCTGGCTCCAGTGGCTCTGAAATGGAAGATCTGTCCTCTCCGAACTCCATCCCCCTTCAGGTAACACTCTCTGCTCCTCTGGCTCCTCCTCTGTGCTCGTAGTCTGTCCTGTCATGTGCCCTCGTCTCTGCTCCACTGTGTTTCGCCTCCGTCAGCAGAAGAACGATGGACTTTGAAGTGTTTCTTAGAGGCTGTGTTTTGCCTTTAGGCCTGTTCCATGGAAGTCAGCAGATTTAGGTACAACCAGGAACTGCTATAAATGTATGCAAAAGGTCATATGGTGCAAGCAGCATCTTTACAAACATGACAGTAGAATAACTAGTGAGACTATTATTATTATTATTTAAAGTTGCACTATGTAACTTTTCTGATGCAGGGTTTGCCACCTGCTTGTCTCCATGGAGATGTAATTGACTTGCCTGGAATGTCTGACAAAAAGCATACAACACATAAAACATACTGTATCTCCATGGAGACAAGCAGGTGGCACCTCAAGGCCAGATCTGTGGAGAGGTGATACCCCTTTCAGTAATTAAATCAAGATAGGTTTAAAACTAAGCAGTAATTACCATGACCACTAGACAAGTTACATAGTGCTCCTTTAAATTGTATTGATTTCACAATGATCGACAGAATATGCAGCATTGTTTTTATTTTATTGCTTAGTTTGCCTTCAAGATCCTATATTACACAAAATTGACTCTTGTGACGTTTAAGCCATGTTGTAATGTTGTTTTTGTTATAATGTTGTTACCTCGTCAAACACATACCCGGAGCTGCATTTTGTTAAGTTCACACATGTTTGAGTAATCCTGCATTACTAGTCTATCTACATCTACAAAGCTCAAAATGCTTTGTTCGACTTTGTGATGTTATAAAGCAGTAGACTTGGAGTTAGACAAACTGTATTGATCCACAAGGGAAAATTATTTGGACAGAGTAGCTCACACATTACAGTAATATAATAAGAAAGCTCAAAAAAATGAATGGTGAAATAAATTCTTAATAAGTAAAAATATAGCAAGAGACAGGTGTCAAATAAGACATAATTATATAAATGTAAAGTAAAAATAGAACAGAAATAGAAATATAAGTGATACAATATAAAAATCACAGCTTTATACAAGAGGTCATAGGAAAACAGTGTAACAGTGATATGATGATTGACAGGACATAGGGTTATCTGTTACATAAAAGTGAGTTGTTGTACAGTTATATGGAGTATAGTATGAATTAGGGATGTAACAATAACCGAAATATAGTGATATAGTATCATCAGAGTTCTCACAATAATATCGTGGACCATCACAGTATACTGAATTACAAGTTTCTTTGCTTAAATTGAGAGTTATGGTTCAGCAATAGCTAAAAAAAGACAGAGGGAACTACATAGACCTTCATTATAGTGCAGACTACAAGAAGAAATAACATATCTAAGCACTTTTAAGTCTTAGTTCTTTGGATTAAGTCTTGTCAAGGCATTTTAAGAGGAAAAGAAGCACACTAACAGTTTTTCACAATAAATAACGTACTGTGAGGTTCATACCGTGACAATATCGTATCATGAGACTTGGATATACATACATACATCTCCAGTATAAATGTATGTATGTATCTCTCACTGTTTGAGCGGAGCTGTAGGAGCCTGTTGGAGAATGAGCTCCTCTGTCCCCCTATAGTCTGGTGCAGTGGGTGAGTTGTCGTACAGTTGTAGGGAGTATTATCTGTCCCTTTATAGTCTGGTGCAGTGCGTGATGGAGAGCAGTTTGTCCAGCTTGTTCAGTAGAGATTGTCAATTCCTGGTCTGAAATTATCCAAATGACTCTAGTGAAGGTGCATGGAGTTTAAAAACACAGTCGAGCACTCACTGTATGTTTTTCTCTCTTTGAGATAAGAACTCAGCCTAAATGTGCAGAGCTTGTGTGTTAACATGAATGAAACAAAACACAATGGTACCAGTGACCAGGCGTCCCTATTTAACCGGGACAGTCCCAGTTTTGAGCCCCGTGTCCCCTGTCCCAGCAGATTTAAACAAAACCAGCGATTTGTCCCAGTTTTACACAAGAAATGTTTCAGTTGTCCCCATTTCTGACCAATTTGATCCCCACCATTGGTAAAGAGGGGAATATATTGTCATTTGTTTAGCTAAAAATAAAGAAATCATGCTTGAAAATGACCATATGACAAAAAAAGCAACAACAATCCCTCAGATTATGAGTGACCCACAAGTGAAGCGAGAATGGACAATGCCACACGCTCTTTTCACAGTTTTATTTATAGCAACCATCCTAACCCAGGTGTGTCCCAGTTTTTAATTCTGAAAATCTCAAAATCACCGTACGCAATGGATATATTTTGATGAGGAAACAACATTTTAACATAGATTAGTAAATAGCGTTAAATGGACCCTTCAAAGAAAGACAACGTTAGAACTTTCAGAAGAATGGAGCCATTTTGATCTCATTCTCAACCCACTGTTTGTGCGTGCTGTTCAGCTCTAAAATTGAGACCACTTAAACCTCAAATATGAGTTGGTTGTCGACATAAAATTAAAGTATAAAACATGAATGAATGCTCCATTTGTCTCTGTAGCCAGTCCTCATTTTATCACAAAACCCTGTTGTGCATTGTTCACTGTTTGACATAATATAGGCTGTACAAACAATGGTCCCCTTTTAGAAAGCAAACACGCTGCAGTAGTTTTCTGAGACGCATTGACTGGCCTCAAACTCAAGCTGTGAGCTGTGGTGAAGATGTGTCTTATATAAGCCTTAACCATATGATAGTAATTAGCAAAGAATTTATAATTTTACACATTACACCCATTTTAAAATGACACCTATGCATGAAATGTGAAAAAAGTCCATGAAATTTATTTGTTTTAATGTCTGATCTTTGTCTGTTATTCAATTCTTTACATCAACTTGATAAACACTAAACGCATTGTATATGAATCATGTGAAAGTATTTTGTAACGTTTGAGAAGTTTTTAGGGATGTAACAATAACTGAAATATTGTGATATTGTATCGTCAGAAGTCTCACAATAACATCGAGAGCTGTCACAATATATCGAATTATAAGTTCCTTTGCTTAAATGCATTGTTCTCTTGTAGGAACAGCTAATAAACTTCGGGAACTACGTGTCCCATAATTCATTTCAGCACAGACAACATGAAGAAATTTTTTTTACTTGAATTCTTGGGATTCTGACAGTAATAATTCACACCAAAATCTTGTCAAGGTATTTTAAAAGCAAAAAAAGTGTCCCATCTAGAATTATATTTGTCACTCCAAAATATCACAATAAATATCGTACTGTGAGATGCATATCGTGTTAATACCGTACCGAGAGATTTGGATATCATTACATTGCTAGTAGTTTTATTACTTAAGCTTTTTTCCAGCTGTACTGACACTACATTATTCTGTGTCTTCTGCAGACCTTCACCAGCTCTTGTTGCAGTGAGTCAGACTTCTCCACTGAAGTTTCCTCCTCCTCCTCGCCCACTCCCTCCTCCTCTTCTTCCTCGGACACCCAGCTGGACTCCCTGTGCTCCCCCCCAGCCTCAGAGTGCGGAGGGGCACGTCCGAAACCTTCTCTGGGATCACACAAGCGCTCCGTTTCCATGACATCGCTCCCAGTCTACAACCGACAAGTGGCCGACTCGTGCATCGTAAGGATCAGTGTGGACTTGGGCCACAACAACGGGAACATGTACAAAAGTATACTGGTAAGAATCATCTGCACAAAATAGTTCTTGGTTCATAGTTATTCGTTCGTAGTTATTTCAAAATACTTTCAAAATATGGAAAACTGCAGTGGATTTAGGAAAAAAAATCTGAATCTACTATTTTTCTATGCAACATTTTCAGGACTTTTCCTCAAATTCAAATTGTTTCTCATTATGGCAACAGTCCTAACTTCATCATTCTAAAAACCATGAATTGTTCCAGGTAGAGTTTCATACGATAGAAAGTTATTATCTGAGTTTGAGAAAGTTTTGCAAAATTATTAAAAAGAAACAAAAAACAATGAAGGATGGGACCATTCGAATTATTGTTCAGGCCTGTTCTCACCACTCAGCGTTGCTCTTATAGCCTTAAAAACCCTGCCAAATCATTTTAAAGTGTACAGAAGGCATTCAGGAACAAGAATAACTATTTCGACAAAAAACTTGAATCATTCTTAAAAAGCACTGAAGAATGGATTAAATGCTTATAACGTATTTTTCTACAAGCGTGATTATTGTTTTAACTAAATTAACATTTTTTTTGTTAGTTTGTTTTGATCACTTTATTACAAGCTAGTTAACCACAAAACATATATTCAAATGGTTCTTTTATGATCATTTGCATTGCTCTTGACTCCATCTGCTGGTCACTTATTGATAAAACAGATATAACACAGTTGAGAAGGGATGTAACAATAGCCAAAATATTGTGATATCGTATCATGAGAGGTCTCAGAATAACATCCTGGGCCATCACAATATATCGAATTACAAGTCTCTTCACTTAAATTGATAGTTATGGTGCCACAATAGTTAACAAAATAGAGGGAACTACATAGACCATGATCCTTTGCTCCGTTTCAATGCAGACTACATGAAGAAATAACAGTTCTAAGCACTTTTATATCTTAGTTCTTTGAGTTAAGTCTTGTCAAGGCAGTTTAAGAGGAAAAATTAGCATGTTTAGCGTTTAAATATCTCAATAAATATTGTACTGTGAGATGTATATCATCAATATTGTACCAAGAAATTTGGATATTGTTACATCTCTACAGCTGAGTAATAATAATGTTTAATTTCTTGATATTTTGTAGTTGACAAGCCAGGACAAGACTGCCCAGGTCATCCAAAGAGCTCTGGAGAAGCATCACCTTGAGCACATGGACTATGCCGACTTCACACTAACACAAATTATCTCATCGGAACGAGGTTAGTAGTAATTCAAAAATTCTTATCAAATATCCTTGCTATATTAAAGCTGCATTGAGTAATGTTTCTCTGTGAATATGTTATTGCTTTGGCTGGAATACTTCTCAGTACGGTCTTAAACCTTTTTATCTTCATGGAGACCAAACCAGACCGATCAGAATGCCTGTTTTTCTAGGTTTTTTTGAGCTATGAAATCAATCTAATTTAATAAGTGTAATGTAGACCTGTTTAATGTCAAACTGTGGAACATTCCAGGCAGAGCAATAACACATCCATTGAAACAAGCAGGTGATGGACCCCCAACCAAAAAATTATATAGGATTATGTTCAGCCTGCAGCCTAAAGTGACCCAAATCAGATTTTTTTGCTCCTATGTGACCTGTATCTGATCTTTTAATGACAGTCTGAATGACACAGATCCGATTTTTCAAACGCGACCTAGGCCACTTGGATATGTGCTCCTAAAACCGAGACATATCAGATCTTTTGACATGCGACTTCAGTGTGAATGGCCAGGTCACATTCATCCCTCCTACATGTCGGGCTCCGAGTCTAGTCAATGGAGGGAAAGCGAAGTTAGAGAGTTAATGAATATTTCGGGGGATCGCTGTATTCAAGACCAAATTGGAGGGGTCTTATTGGAACCAGGCAATGTTTGAAATGATTGCCAAAGAAATAACCAAGCATGGGTACAGGCGCTCCTGGCTCCAATGTCGATGAAAAATAAAAAGCCTGCGAGCCAAATACAAGGAGGCTAAAGTCTCAAACAAATGAAGCAGGTGTGGACGTGTAACCTGTCCCATTTACCAAGATCTGGACCGTAAACACTGAGCACGCTCGCTGAGTGTGGGCGTTTAAAATTCACATTGGAGATCCTGTACAAGTTGCATTTAATTGGAAATGTGAACAATGTCGCAAAAAAATTGGATTTCACAAAAAAATAAAAAATAAGCATTAAGCCCTGCAGTCTGAACATAACCATAGTGCACCTTTTAAGTGTAATAAATTAATTATACCATGTTTCTGTATTCTCCTAGAACTGCTAATACCAGACAAAGCTAATGTCTTCTACGCGATGTCCACCACTGCCAACTTTGACTTTGTTCTACGCAAATATGAAAAAGATCAGAAGAAACCGCTGAGTGCCACTCGGAGTCTGGGAAGATACACAAAGTAGCAGCTTTGGCAGAAGGACAAATGTACACAAAAAGCACTTTATTAAGAAGTTTATTGACAAAACTTGTTACTGGAGTTTAGAACCGGACCATAGACCATGATCCAAGAAACATGTGCTGCCTTCACTGACCTCGTTCATACAGGAACATTGAAATCTGAGGAGCCATTTCATCTTTGCCAGTGGCTGCTTAGTAGCACCTGTGTGTTAAAAAGGAAAGTGGGTCAGAGAGAAACTAGTGGAGATACTTTGAACTGCTGCCACGAGCCGCATGGAAAAGTACTAGTCACCAAGAGTCTACGGTGACATTGAACTTCAGTGGATGAAAAACATAAAAAGAGTAAAATATAAATATAAAAAAGTAGATTTATACATGTAACTTGGCTTCATGTGTAAGAAGTTTCTCATATGTACTGTATTGAGTCAGAGTTGCTAAAACATTTTTAGGAATGCAAAAGCCAATAGCGCCAAGTGATGATGTGTTCCCTTATAATTCTAGGTTTCTGTCTGCGTTCTGGGTGGAATTTGAACAAATTAGGAAAAAAATATATAACTGTAAGTTTTCTGACAAGTCTTGTGATTGCAATAAGAACTGACAAGACTGAAATATGAACTGACAAACAATACGAGACATTTCTGAACATGTTTGTACAGATCAAAACTACAGGGTTAGCAGTTTTTATGCAGGATATCACAGGATATTTTTGTTGTTTGGGGAAGAAATTATGGTACAAAATACTTCAAATTATGATTTTGATTCGATTGTCCTGACCTTTTGAGCACAATGGAATAGGGGAATGGGGCATTGCATATATACTGTAAACCCAAAAATCATATAAAGTGTTTTTGAAGTGTAAAGTATTCAGGATCAAGAACATATAAATAACTGTTTCCATAATAAAAACTTAAATGAGAAACTCTATAATTCTAAGGGGACATATTGTGCAGTGTTGAGCTCTGAGTAGCTAAGTTGAGAATAATGCATTGTCTCTTGCTTCATATTATTTTCATGCTTGTTGACATTGTGGTATCACCTTGACTTGTACAGACTGGTGGGATGGCATTCCTCTGTCTGACTAAAACATCTGAACTTTTCGAGACAGCACACAGCTCGGTGCATTTGGGCTAATATGACAGCTATGCTCACTATTCTCTTTGCACGTAGCCTCACCTTAATCTCTTTGATTGTGTATTGAAGGAATGATGCTATGATGTAAATGAATGTAAATATGTACATGTTTTGATGTATTTAATTTAAATGAATTTTTTTAATTTACAATGATGTTGAATAGTACTGCTGCTAACACATCTCAGAACAGATTCACCATTTCAATAGTGTGTAGTAAAGTCATTTCCACTTCTCTGGTAAGATTATTTAAGACTATTTTAAATAATCCCTCTTCACCAACCTGCACATATACATGTTAAACTGATTTAACATACACAGTGTCTTGAGACATTTGTTGACCTTGGTTTGAATGTAATGTTCAAAGAAAATAAAAACAAATACCACTCATTCTAATGCAGTGTTGTTGTGTGTTCTGTTTTGGTCTTGTGCATTTGAAGAATTTGTGCCTGTGTCTGTGTCTCACACAGAGAAAAGCCACAGATTCACATGTCTAGTCAAGTACAATATTTATTTCTTTGTAAATGATATTTTATACAGTTATTTTAAGTTAACAGTATTTGTTAATGAAGTGCAATGTACTATAAATTTATGAAAGGTATATATTTTCTTAAATAAACTATGTTTAAGTTTACCATAAACATGCTCTTTATGAAGGAAATGTATTTAAAAAAAACAATGCTTATGTACGGGATCATATTTTAATATTATAATCAATTTCAAATTAAATTCAGATTTTTTTTGTTTACATTTTGAAAATAATTCTTCAGTTAGATATCAAACTGGTAATGGCTCACCATAGTGATAAAAATTAATATAAGATATAAGAATGAACAGCTTTCAACTACAGGCCTATGTTTTATTTATTTTATTATTTATATATATATTTAAAAAAAAAATATATATATATATATATATATATATATATGTGCTGTCATGCGATTAAAAAAATTGAGAGATTAATTATGATCTGTAATTAATTAATCTAATTAATCTCATTTTAATCTCACCTAAAAATTGCTGAGAAAAGCTTCAATTTGAGGTATTTTCATTTAAATTCATTATTACATTATTGTGGCAGATCAAAAGACTGATATAGATTAAAAAAAGTGACTTTATAAAGTCATTTATTGTTTAACAAATCTCTCCAATTTGGCTGTTGAGCCCAAGTCTCCATGAATAAGAAACTGTTTGTTGTAAAGTAGCAAAGACGAGGAAATCTGAACATAATAACTTTTGTCTACTTAAAGACAATAAAAAGTCCAGTCTTTCCTTAACCATATTTAAAATATTATTGATAGAGAAATGCTTTATATATGAGATCACTGGTTTTAGTCCTTGTTTTAGTCCTGGTTTAGACCTGCTTTAGTCCTACTTTAGTCCTAGTTTAGTCCTGGAATGGATTAATCCTGGTTTTAGTCCTGGTGTTAGTTCTGGTTTAGTCCTGGTTTAGTCCTGGTTTAGACCTGGTTTTAGTTCTGGTTTTAGTTCTGGTTTTAGTTCTGGTTTAGTCCTGGTTTTAGTTCTGGTTTTAGTTCTGGTTTAGTCCTGGTTTAGACCTGGTTTTAGTTCTGGTTTAGTCCTGGTTTAGACCTGGTTTTAGTTCTAGTTTTAGTTCTGGTTTAGTCCTGGTTTAGACCTGGTTTAGTCCTGGACTGGTTTAGTCCTGGACTGGATAAGTCCTGGTTTTAGTTCTGGTTTTAGTTCTGGTTTAGACTTGGTTTAGTCCTGGTTTTAGTCTTGGTGTTAGTTCTGGATTAGAGGCGCACAGGAGGAAGCGCGGTTTACGCAGCGTACGCGAGAAAACACGATCCACACGCGGCTCACGGGAGCACGTCGGTGTCCGCGCAGTAACTACGGAAGGAAACGTGGTCCGCGCGTTCTCAGGTTAATGACGATGATGAAGGTGTGTGTTTGTTTGTGTGTGTTTGTGTGTTTGTTTGTGTGTGTTGTGTGTGTGTGTGTTTGTGTGTGTTGTGTTGTGTGTGTGTTTGTGTGTTGTGTGTGTGTGTGTGTGTGTGTGTGTTGTGTGTGTGTGTGTGTGTTGTGTGTGTTTGTGTGTGTGTGTGTGTTGTGTGTGTGTGTTTGTGTGTGTGTGTGTGTGTGTGTGTGTGTGTGTGTGTGTGTGTGTGTGTGTGTGTGTGTGTGTGTGTGTGTGTGTGTGTGTGTGTGTGTCCCCTCATGTGGCAGGTCACTATAGGACAGTAGTGCAGACATCATGAGTCTATGCAGGTTGTTTTCACCAGTGACATTTAAGTTGTAGGCGATATTATATTTGTTATTTTCTTTTATATTTCACGTCGGGAGAATAATTTCCAAGACACGAATGTGTTTTTACCTGTGCACTGCTGCCTCTGTTCTACTGGCTCTTCGACCTCGTCCATTGTGCGACTGACGCCGCCAACTTTAACATGACGTTCACATCGCTGTTACTGCGCGCGTTTTGTGTGGGTTTCCGGCAATGAGAGGAATTACCGAAATAAAAAAAAAAGTATAAATGTGGTTTTTGTGTGTGTGTTATTGTCCCAACAACACATAAAAACAGGTTTTATAATAAAGCAACTCGCATACAGAAACACTAAAGTTAGAGAGTAAAAATGAGATTAACGCGATTAAAAAACATAACGCGCTAAATATGACTGTAATTAATTAATCGCAATTAACGCGATAATTTGACACCCCTTATATATATATATATATATATATATATATATATATATATATATATATATATATATATATATATATATATATATATATATATATATATATAATATATTTTTTATTTATTTAATTTTTTTCAGGGTTGGATCTTACTAGCCAGCATTCTGCTAAAGTGAATTGCAGACAAATCTATTTCAACACAAGAGGTCAGTAGATTTTTCCAAACTGCTTAAATTATTCTGGAGCTGTAATGACGCAAAATTACCACAGGGAGGCGATATCATCCTTCTGCTTCATCAACTGCTCAGGCTCCGGACGCTCTTTACATATTTCCTTTAGCAACTCTTCCAATAGTCTACACTTTACCTGCTATTTATTCTCAGTCATAGTCATAGACACTTATTGTGTATAATTTCGTGGCCTAATTTTTTATTTACTTGCACAACTTGTGTTATATTTCATTTACATATTTTTTCAGATTATTTAATTTTAATCGCTATTTGTATCTTACTGTATTTTGTATCATATTTATTCATTATTCATTTTTACTCATTTTGCTTATTCACAATATTTTATGTTGAGTTTTGACTGCGTATTTCAATCTGCTGCTCACTTCTGCGTGGCAACACTGACATTTCCCATTGCGGGTCAAATAAAAGTTCTATTATCTCATTTCTTTGTTCATTTGTCCATTTCAGTCCATCGAAAACAAAAGAAATCAGAAAACATCCCGCATACAGTCCAAAAGTATTACTGAGGGCAGTTTTTTCTAATGACTGACAGTGAATAGGCTGAAAGTGAATGGAATATATCGGGCCTTTCTCTGCTCTGTGCATTTGGCTGCAGCAGACGCTCACTCAGCACGAGGCTTTGATTCACTTCATGTGTAGACGGCGTGCGTGAGTACGTGCGTGCGTACGTGCGCGTGCGTGAGAGGGGGGTACGTGCGTGTGCCGCGGGTGCACCGGTCAGCACTTCTGGAGGAGAAACAGGACACTGCTCTTCATCGCATACTCTCTCATGCATTATGGATGTCGGTCCGTTCAGTGGGAATATAGAGCAGAGAGAAGCAGGAATACTCTTGACCCACTTTGGAAAAGTAATTTGGGGTCTATACGGTTTCTGTTTTACCAGCGCAGGGGGTTTTCTCTGAAAAATCAAAGCCTGCTATTTTAGCCTATATTGAAATAAGGCAAATAAAAATAAATGGCCTTAATAGGCCTCTAAGAAATTATGAACTGTTATTAATAATACAAGTGTTGTTCAAAATATTGAATGAAGATTTTTTTTTTTTTTTTTTTATTTAAAAAAAAAAAAAAAAAAGTAGGTCTATTATTATCACAGAAAAGATCAGTATCATTTCCTTGAAAGCAGCCCATCTGAGGTTGGTGTCCTACTCATTTACAATACAATACAGTACCTGCGAAAAGAACTCCGGGGAGTATTCATCTTTACCAGGAAATTCACTCACATTTGTAAAGGTTTGTAAACCTTGAATGGCAGCAGTCCCACATCACCTGAACACAGTAAACCCCTCTATGCATCAGCGGGCATGGCCGAGGTCACGACCCTATCTCGCAATCTCTGTTACATGCTTATGGCCCCAACAAAGGGCAATGTACATCAGCAGGGGCCTGCACAGTGTTTATCAACAACAGAGAGCTTCTCTTTTTCTTAGAAGGGGAAGTTAGGGGGCAAGACCTTTGGCCTTCGTGCACAAGTACAGAATCTGACACTCTCAGAGCTAACAGCTAACAGGGAGTCTGAGTGACAGCTGAGTCTGATCCAGGTCTCCACAGGGAACAGTGCAGCAGCAGACGAAAGGGACATGCATGTTTCCTAGTGTGCTTGGGTGTCTGCTTTAAATGAAGCTCAAGTGTTAATTCTGCCACGCTAAAATACGCTCAAAATAGGAAGTTATTTAGACTTTATTTCACATTTTCAATTGAAATATGATGTTTTTGTGCTAATGGAACTGTATGTAGATTTAGATTTAAGATTTTATAAACTGTGCCCTCAGATAATAAACAAATAAACAAATCAAATATAGTTTCACTCATAAGAATTCTAATGCTGATTTATTCTTAATTACAAAAACATGATGGCCCATTACAAAGACATGGCCCATTTATTTGTAATGTGGAGTGTTGTGGTTCACATGAGTCTCTCATTTGATTTGCCAGTTTCAATGTTGAAACCCTGTTTATTTAAACTTAAAAGGACTCTCTCTGAAACTCCAGCACCTGCAAACTATCATAGTCAGTGCTAGTACAGCCTCTGCAGCTCACTGAGGGAAGTCTGGAGGCTTCCACAAGAGGTATAATCTGCTGAAAATGACAAAACCTGTATGTGTCAATCTTTTTTGAAACAGTAAAGGCGAGGGCTCCATACAGTTCCTTTAATCGCACTTGTGGCTTAGTTTGTGGACACATTTTACTGAAAAAACAAGAAATGTAGAAGGTGTAATATTTACTGTTTTTAACATTGTGCGAACATTCCATCCAAACATTTGCTTTAGTGTCACACCTTGCTCCTAGTTTAGATATGAGAAGGTTATAGCAGCACAACATGTTCCTCTGTGCTGCTTTGACACTGGTGAATCTGCACTCAGTGACCCACTGCTTTAACTTCCCTTTGTGATATTTCTACACACATTCTGATAACAAAAGTGAGAACGAGGTCATTTTCTTTGCTTCCTCGTGTTTTCTGGGCCGGATAAATG